CTGTATATGCTGCAAACTCTTAGAACACATTGTAGTATAACATCCTAAAACATATGGACACACATAACATTCTAGTGGACAATCAGCATGGTTTCAGAGCAAACACAACTTCATGCATTAAGTAATGAATTACTTAGTAACCTTCATAATGACATAAACGGTTCTTATTATATTAGACTTCATTTGGCAAGGTACCTTACAAAAAATTATCAAAGAAGATGGATTATTATGGCATAAGGGGAAATACCTGGTAATGGGTATCAGCCTTCCTTAATGATAGAACACAAAGGTTGTCCTTGATGGGGAGGTATCTAGTCACATGCCTGTGGTTAGTGGGGTGCCCCAAGGCAGTCTTTGGTCCACTTCTTTTTTTGATTTCATAAATGACCTCCCTAGCTGCAACAGTACCATCAAAAACACGCTTGTTCGCAGAAGACGGGTTTATAGCTCTTCATCTTTTTTTGTAAGCTTTGGAAATTTCCAAATATGTTGGCCTCGAGCATCACTGAAGAGACATTGATTGTTGAAATGCGCATCTGTTGCAGAAACATTGGTACCGTTTATGTTATGATTGTATTTTATACAGAACAATTAAAAATCAGCGAGACTGTACCATCCTACAAAATTACTTAAACTGCCTAGCCAAATGGGAACACACTTGGGGTATGCAATTCCACCCAGAAAAATGCAACTCCCTCACTGTAACAAGATTACAGTCACCATACAAACATGATTATGTACTAAAAGGCCGCATTTTAGAATCCGTCAGCCTAGCAAAATATCTTGGTATCACCTTATCCAACAACATTTCATGGGTTACCCATATTAACAGCATCACTGCAAAGTGAATAAGAATTTGTGCTTTTTAAAAATAAATCAGGAAGAAACAAAAAGGTTGGCTTACAAATCTTTGGTACAATCAATCCTAGAATACTGCTCTTCAGATTGGTCTCCTAACACCCCAAAGCGAAACAAAATAACATTAAAAAAATACAAAGAAGGGCAGCGCGCTACGCCACCAACATGTACCATAACATCAGTAGTGTCACTTCCATGATTGACCATTTTAATTGGAAGTCACTTGAAACTCGAAGAAACATCAATCGAGTAACACTGATGTACAAAATCACACAAACTTATGGCAGTAGATCCAAACCTTTACCTTTCACCACAGCCAGTAAAACACACCAGATTCACCAATTCACTACAATATCAAACATTCAGCACCAGAACAGATTACTTTAAATACAGCTTTTTCCCCATTCAAAGTTGTAATGTGGAATTCACTTCCACAAAACATTATCAGCGTTAACTCTTTGGATCAGTTCAAAATACTGATCCAAAGTCAGTACATTTAGGCAATTACCCTGTTTGTAAATATGTAAATGTGTTTATTTTTTAAATTCTTGCACAAAATTATTTTTGATAATTCCACTCATAATTTTTTTATCTTTTAATAAGTGTCTGTTTGCGATGCGCCGACGTATAGTCATCGATGTGCTGATGGATCGTCGTACGTTGTAGATGTACTCTTTTCTATATAGCTATGTTTCGCAAAAACTAAAGAAGGAAGAGAGAAACTGTAAACAGACAAAAAATTATCAGCAATACAAGAACAACAAGAAAAGAGATTATTGTCTTGCATTCTTTTCTAGTCCACAATGATCGAGAGTGTCCATTGTCGTAGATGCACATAGGCCTAGGTGGATACAGGCTCTTTCAAGCCTGTAGTTACTAGACACATGGTAGAAGGTGACTTTAAAAAGTCATTTATGTATCACTACAAGACTTCAAATATTGGTTAAAAATTGGCATATAGATAGGTGATACACGAAAAATTCAGATTATACATTGTTCTTATAAAGTTAAACTCTAGGAAAAATATTTAGAAAGCTACGAACATTGAAAAGTTTGGTTGAATAAACAGTGATTTTGAATTGGTGTTATGTTACTCTTTTTCTTGCTTAGCACATCATTAATTTGGGTATATCCTCCATTTGAAGTATGTCATACCAGATATTTCAAGGAGCAACAACCCTTTTTAAATAACAGTGTATATTTAAAAATCAGCATATTCACTTAATGAGGTTTAGCTAGCTATAAAACCAGGTTTAATCCACCATTTTCTACTTAAGGAAATGCCTGTACCAAAGTCAGGAATATGACAGTTGTTTTCCGTTGCCATTTGACTTTCCGTTTTGAATTTTCCTTGGAGTTCGGTATTTTTTGTTATTTTATTTTTTATTATTGGATGTTAATGATATAAAATGTCTGAAATTGCCATCACAAAAGACAGGAACAATAAATAAAAAAATGCACGAGCATTTAGGCAGCAAATAATGTACGAATGTGACAAAAAAAAATAATTCAAACGATTGTGATAATCAAATTGGCCAAAAGAGAGAAAATGAAGTAAGACACGTTAAGAACTCAAGTTATTATCAATTCAAATTTAAACCTATATTGACATATTACTATAACTGAGCATGAGACAAAACACAACCATTAAACAATGTCAATATACATTATTTTAGTAAATATTGAGAGAGTTCCTTGTCCTCAGTTCTATTGACTGTTTCAACCTTAATTGATGAGCTAAGGTGGTGTGTATATTTCATATTATCTCTATCAGATAAATCTATATAAGTATTCATTTATTAAAAAATGTAATTAAAACTTTTCTTATAATATTGTAATTACTCAATGTAAAAATAGTTGAATTTCATCTTCAATCCTGACCATCTCCTTTATTTTAAATAATGTGAGCTATTTCATCTATCTGTTATCAGTGTCAGATGCAGGTTGAACTGTACAACTGTTGAAAACGTATAAACCCGCTGCATTTTTATGCACCTGCCCTAAGTCAGGAGCCTGTTGTTCAGTGGTTGTCGTTTGTTGGTGTGGTTCATAAGTGTTTCTCGTTTTTTGTATAGATTAGACCGTTGGTTTTCCTGTTTGAATTGTTTTACACTAGTCATTTTGGGGACGTTTATAGCTTGCTGCTCGATGTGAGCCAAGGCTCCGTGTTGAAGGCCGTACTTTGACCTTTACACATTGTGACTTGGATGGATAGTTGTCTCATTGGCACTCATACCACATCTTCTTATTCATATGAACTGTACCCATTGAATTGAGAGAAAAAAATCATTTGTTAGCATAAATCTCATCAAAGATACAAGGGTTATTATTTTGTACGCCAGACACACGTCTACATAAGAATTGTGAGTTGTGCTCGAATCAAAACAGTTGGATAGCCAAACCAAATCCTGATGAAGTTGAGCATTAAAAAACCGTAATTCAAGATATTTCGAAAATTCCGAAAATTTGCTCTGAACACGTCTAAGACAATTTATGCCTTGGGGTTAAAAAAAAACCTGTGTGTTTTGAATAATTCAACAATTTAGTACAGTCAATTTTCAGAAAATGAACATTTTTTACGTCATTTGGTCTCTGGTGGGGAGTTGTCCCATTGGCAGTTATACCACTTCTAATATTTATATCAATGATATTTCACGTCAACACAAAAGTGCGGATTACTGGGCTTGTGATACCATCGGGAACAAAACGATCACCAGCAGTGGCATAGACCCAGTGGTTGTAAAAACTGTTCAAAGATAACAGGCTCATAAAATCATCATATAGATTTGCCTTACAACTATCGGCGCTGTTTTTACTATAACGTACACTTACACCACCTTATCGAAACATTGATACACCCCTGTTCATCCATTGTCCAGTTATACCCTTTAATTCGTATGGGTTACTACTATTTCTTTGCTTTCATCATAATCTTATATTCAGAAACGCTATCTTATGAAACTATCAGGTCAATTTAGATCAACTTGGTCAGAATGTTCCTTAGGGTAAATAGTTTTTTAAATTCGATCTGAATTCCCATGAACCAATAATTTGCCACTAAGGCGACAAAATAGACAGTAAATGCAAGAAATTGTCTAGATTCTTAAATATCCCTAAAGACTGTAACTTTAAGTAATTGCACTGTGTAAATCAAATATATTTTCTGTACAGAATAATTGAAAAGGTTTATCTGAAAATTACCTCATTTTGATGAATCTTTGTAAAGGGAAATGTTGTTTTGAGCCTGGACTAGAAGTTAAAGAACCTTATCATAATGTATTAAAAACAATGTCATTATCAGTTAAGCAGGCAAGACATTTCAGCACATGCCTTAAGTTACATGACTGAATAATGTGATCTTGGTTAAAAACAAACGAAAAAACTTTTCACACATAGAAAGTGTTGTTATAGAAAATTATTTAATAGAACGTTTAAATTTGTCTACATATCGTGAAATAGCGGTCCTGAGCTGCGTCGGATAGAAATCGACCGTATGCAAGTGCACGTATATATGTACGTGTATGACTTTGATTGATGTTGGAACATTCAAATACGAAATAAAAGATGAATTTTGGTCTGTTTTGTAGGGATCTTATATCAACTCAACTTGCAAACAGTTACAGACTTTACATAGAGATTTTTTTTAAACCGAAATGATTTAACAGATGTATTGATATTCATTTGCATAAGGTCGATTTCTATCCGACGCAGCTACTCCACCAGATGCACATTTCGACAATTAATATCACTGAAGGGATGGTCCAGGCAAAAATATTCGAAAACAATATTTCTACGCGTTCAACATTGAATTTTTGAATAATTAACCGTCTTGAGTGGGTAATTCGATGCAGTGTTGGAATCTATATAAATTTCTGAAAGAGAATGTACGTTGTAAATATAACGGAATTTGATGAGACTGTCGTACAAGTGAGAGGTTTAGCGCTATAAAACCAGGTTCAATCCACCATTTTCTACATTTGAAAATGCCTGTACCAAGTCAGGAATATGACTGTTGTTGTCCATTCGTTTGATGTGTTTTGTCATTTGATTTTGCCATGTGATTAGGGACTTTCCGATTGAATTTTCCTCGGAGTTCAGTATTTTTGTGATTTTACTTTTTATTAGAATGAATAGCAACATAATCAGTTCGAAAATTAATTTATGCTATTTTAAATGTTGCTTTGCAGAGCTGTCGCGACTTTTTATCCTTAGCTACAGCACTAACTTCGGTTTTACCAAACTCAAACTCTATGTCAAACCATCTTTTCTCGTCGGAAGGATCTTCAATTGCCGTTACAATTTCTCCAAGAAGGTAACATCCTTTTTCATCTACATATTTTGGATTAGTATTATTTGTTGTATAGACAGACAACTTTATTTCATTTTGCTTTTCCATTGTAGTGCTATATGATTTGGTAATTTTAGTCCCAACTGGAACGGACGAATTTTCCTTCATTATAACATCAAACAAGTTTCGAGTTTTTTCGACGCCGGCTATAACTGATTTGTGTTTCTCGTCGTGTTTTGTTGGATTAAACTTTGCAGTCATCGCCACTCCATATGTCGTCTTGATAACTCTTGATTCAATTGCTGAAGGATTTTGACCGAACAAAACTGCGCCTTTAAGAACTGCCAAATCAGCTTGTTCCGGAACGATGATTCTATGTTTAGGGAACTGTTTTCTCAGTTCAGCTTGTATAAGGCGACATTCCGAGAATCCACCCACCATTATTATAAGTGATGTCATGCGAGCTTCTCTCTTCTCCAGTACGGACTTCACAAGAGAAATGATGCCATCGATAGTTGGGGCAAATAAAGATTTCATTAAATCTACCTCAAATCTAATTTTGTCACCACGACGCATAATCTCTTTTTTATATTTAGATGATGCTAACGCTGAATCAAAACTTTCGGATAAGTGTTTTTGACAAAGAGAGTCAAACGTTGCAAAAGGGAATGTTACATTGACTTTTCCTGTTTTTGTGGTATCTATTGTTCTTTTGACATTTTCAAATGCCCTAAAAATATCTAAGAAAGCACCCGGTTCTTCCTGTTTCATAGTATTCATAAGAGGAGCCCCAACAATCTTAACAAATAATTGAAAAAATGCATTGTCAACTGATGTGCCACCACAGTCATTGCCATCTGCTCTGCAAATTTCTTTCAGTTGACCATCTGGTAGTTTTTCATGCAACGTTATGTCTGCTGTTCCACCTGTAAATTAGAAAAAAATGTACGGAATCATAAGGATGAAGAAACCCGACAATTTTCTAGTAATCATTTCGGAATAATGACAACTGGAATATCAAACGATAACTCTTAATTCGTCTGAACAACAGTTTGGTTTGTCTTATTTTACACTAGGACTACAACATAGGTATTTCGCTGTGAGTATGATTCAGTTCATGTTATGGCGGAAATTATGGTAACGAGTAGGAAAAAAAGCAAACTGATTGTGATAGTTCACAACGCCTGTTGAAAACATATGTTTCTAATTAATATCTAGTATATTATTCATATCAAGAAACATAGCACTGTCTGTTTTAATTATGTAAATTAAGTAACCTTATTGAAAAAGATATTGCAACATTTGTTTTGTGATCAAATTAAAGATCCAATTGCTTTCACAAGTATTAATTCATTTGTGATAGATTTTGTTGTCGGTACGATAGTTTTCAAATATTTACTTTTAAAAGGCATGGACATCTACTTCAAAGCCACGATTTCCCTTTCAAATTATTCAATTTCGCACAATCCGTATTTTGAATTAGGATGGATCAAGTTTGATGACAAATTAGAAGTAGGTTTAAATAAAAAATTTTGAACAAATAAAAAAAGTTCATTGTAATACAAAAAGTCGGAATTTATTGCGGAAAGAAGTACAAATAAAATTGTTTGTCCATATTCACGGTGGGTAAGGTTGTCCTGCAAAAGAATGTGATTTGGTCCTGACCGGTGCTGGTGATTGATGTCGGAATGAAACGAAATAATTGAAATGTTTTTATTTTGTTCCTTATGGTTTCGAAAGCGATCGATTAAAATATTGACCAATAGAAAATAGAAAAAAGTAGTATATTACACTAATTTAAAAATGATCTATAAGATTTCAATAAACTATTGATTATATCTAAAAATTCACACTTTTTTTACCTCCAAGGTCAACAATCATATATCTGGTACCAGCCCGTGACATGTGAAAACCTGCCTCTGCTCCATGTAGTTTTTCCGTTGGGAGATGCTGGCAGTAGATAGACGCAGCCTCAGGCTCTAACGCAATGAAAAGGTTTTGATCAGGAATTCCAGCCTTCAATTTAAATTTTTTTTTATTATATTTTTATATACTAGACTGAACGGTTGATGGCAGGTAAAACTTGTACAAATTATAATACATAACAACTTAAATTAAATGAAATATGCAATATTTAGTAAAAATATGATATTTAGATAGATGTGCTGTGACCTAAATGTAGTTAAAGAGTCCACCTTCCACAGTATTACATATGGACTTTATATTTTATGTAGTAACGTACTGCATAAGTACAAGCACAGATACAATTTTTGTCCGTTAATGATTTTGTCTAGATTATATACTTCTTGGGAAATGAGTAGAAATATCATTTTCAATTTCTAGCTTAAAAGTTCAATATTTAATAAAAAGGTGAAAAGGAGAGATTCCCCTTTTTCATTTAAACCACAATACTAGCAAATCCTTTTTTTTTTTTTTTTTTTTTGATTTTTTTATATCTGCATAAAAGTAAAAATAAACAAATATTCCCTGATAACCAACAGGAAATGAAAAGTACCATCAACTTATGAAGAAGAAAAAACGTATAATGACGGCCCCTTATCTAAAAGGTAATTCAGCCCTATATAGGTTTTAGTTTATTTGGTGTTTCACGAGTTTATTGTCTCATGTTCATCAAACTCGTATCTTTTTTTTCTAAATTTTTGTATTTGAAATATTGTTCTTTCAGCCTTAATTTCCATATGAATTGATGTGTCTGTTTTTCCTTTTTTTTTTTTTTTTAATCTTTGGTTGTCAAACATTTGATCTCACATTTTAAGTGCAATATATCCATGTTGGCGAGTACTAGTACCTTAGTAGCGGCCGTTCTCATAAACTGTTTGGCTGAGTCTGTCCATATTGCTGGTAGTGTCAAAACCCATCTTACATCATCCCTAGACATTCCTGTTCCCCGTTTATCTAGTAATTCCAATAAATGGTCAACTAAAGCTTTGATTGACAAAGCAAACACATTTATTGCTGACACGGATTTTCCTGTTACGTCCTCAAGGATCATTTTGGTAGACAAATGCTACAAAACATGTTCTATCATTACTTACATCATTAAAACATCGATTACAGGATCAAGAATTATTTCAAGTCCCGAAGAATCTTCAAACTTACAATCATCATTTAGAAACCATAACATTACCAATATATTTCAGGAACGGACGCACCGTTTGCACTGAGCTCTCATTTTGTATTTAAATTAACATATTATACATTAAAAATTTCATTTTTGCGATTTGTTTGCCAACATTTTGACCCATATAATGTAATTTTGTTATTGCATATTTTCCACACAAGACCAAACGTCTTTTTAAATGTAAAACATACATTTGTTTTTTATTGTTGATACATGAAAACCTTAATTATTTGAACACAAACTGTAAACAATTATAAATTATATGATATTATGATATGTATTAGGCGTAGCTTTAAAAATGTTCGTTTTTATGAATGCAAAATAAAAATACATGCTTTGTTCTTGTGCAGCTTCATTTTAAATCTGTTAAAAAAGTAGTAATCGCTTTGTTCCTCATCTAAAACGAGATCTGTGTATGTATTTTCAGCATCATAACCAAAAGACTTAAACTCCTTATTTTTGTCAAGAAGTAGACACGTTGGTGTCTTCAGAGACCAGTGCTGAGAGGAACCAGAATTCCATGCTTGGTTGGCTTGAATTTTTAATGGCTCTGTTTTAAAATCTCCTCGCAGGGCATATGCATATCCCGAATACGTTGTCCCAAAATCTAATGCTGCAACTAATAGGTATCTGTCACTTCTGGTACTCATATTCGAATTTCTGTAATAACAAATTTGTAAAGATCAGAACTAGTACGTCATTTATGACATAATATCCCTACCTGCTCTTGTCAAAAAAGGACAAAGGACGTATTACTGTTGAACACTTTAAGTTGTCAAGTTGTTTAACAAAAATGTGATGTGCCATGTGGTTGAATTGACAAGTGTTTAGATTGTGCATTCTACAAATGTTAACAGACTGCGTCAGAATATTTCACTGCTCGCTATAGTCTTTTTAGTGTGATGAACATGTAACATTTACTTCTTTTCAAACCTTTGCTAGGTGCCATCTATAACTTGAAGTGAGGTGTGAGCTTTTGTTAAGTGGTGATGGTCTCATTTGGACATTAGTCAAAAAAGACAAAGAATGTATTACTGTTGAACACTTTAATGTCCAAATGCTCGTCACATGGCTACAACACATTTTTGTTAGACAAGTTAACAGGAAAAAGTGTATCAATAGAGCAATTATTTGAATGGACTACATGACAATTTTAATAAACAAACAGACCGAAAGAGAAAAAGAGAAGGCTGGGGTGGTTTGATTTTATTCAAGTTTTAGAAAATCTGTTATATGTATTAATTTAGTTAGTTTTGAAGGTCTTTCAATTATTCCGAGTTCTCTGAGATCGCCGGTAATTAATTTGTGTTTTTGAAATTGTGTTGTTTGTTTTTGTATTAAGTACTAATGTGATTAGAAAATTCATTTTCAACTAATTTTGTTACTTTTTTATTATATAGTGATGTTAACTATTGTCAAGTTCGGGAAGTGTTGCGCGCTCACAAGCATTGTGTATGTGCCTACCCCAAAGCATGAACCTTGAATTAAGTTGTAGTTGTTAGATGCTATCTGCCATAATTACTGAATAGTTTTGATAAGGCCAGGTCGTTGGCTTTCTCTTTTGATTTGGTTGACTTTGTTGAAGGCCATATGTGCGAGAACAAGTAGTTGTTTGCATCCTTGTCCTTTCACTCCGGAGAAAAATCCAATAGGAAATCCTACAAAATTAAATTTCCTGAAACAAAATGTTTTAGAAAGGAAGTGAAAACATTAGAAAAAAAATTATTCACAACAATGAGTTTTTAACTTCTTGTTCCGGTATGTTATTGAATAATATAGTTTGTTTTTGATAAAAGCTGTTTTCCCCAAAGATGATTGTGCTCGATTGGCTAGAAAAGAACAGGTCCCATTTGCTCCTATTTCAGATATCAATCGAAGGCAACGGAACCGGATGCGTGAGACATTTGGCTTTGATGTAGCTACTTTTGCCGCATTGCCAGTTATTGGTGATTTGTTTCACTTTTTTTGTTTGTTTTATTTTGAGGCTGTTCTATATAGAGTGAATTGTATCTATCATCAATCACTCCAACACCCTTAACAAAAAACATCTAAACATAATTGTCATTTTCAATAGACCTGTGTCTATACAGTATGTGAAACCGCTCTAATTCTAGAAAAATTGTGAATAAAAAAAAAACAAAAAACATTAGAATATGACATATGACAACTACTGACGTTGTTAGAAATGAGTTTGCAGCCATCTGACCTGGACATCATTTTAAGACGTTTAGAAATAGAATAGGATATAATACCATACTTGAAACTAAAGCAAAAGCAACACAAATTAATCGACTCCTTACGGGAATTATGATGCCAAATTTTAGCATTTTCTGCATACCATTTTCTGCTTAACATTTTCACACCATTACAGATAGACATAAACTTGAAACAGAAAAGTGTCATGAGTACAAGATCTTCAAACCTGCAAATAAGCTGTTAATATCAATAATCTCCTCGTAGGAGTTATTGCCTTTGAATAAAGTTTTTTTTAACCATTTAACTATTTCCCCCTGCTGTCTTGAAAACTATAATGATAGGCATCAGTTGTATAAAAAAGGATCCGCAATACAAGATCAATTAAACTATGAATAAACATAATATCATAAAATAGGCATTGACAAGCAACATATACATAAGAATGTTTATAACTTATTAGGAACCCCTAAAAAAACTGGAAAAAAAACATAAAACAAACAAACAAACTAAAACAAAAATAAACAAACAAACAAAAAACACAGAAGAAAACAGGTGATCATTCATTTATGATCTGAAAAAATGACTGAGTAGTAGATAATTCATAACAATGGTACATTCAATTACACCATATCAAGACAAATTTTACTTTATTCTGACATCTTCTAATATGGCTTGAATGTCCTGACTTTTTGTCGAAATAACCTTCTTTATTTTCATTTTATACATTATGCAATTTGACTAACGCTAAGGTTGAAACTCAATCTTAATTAAATACATAGCATGTGTCAAAGCTTTCCATAAAAAGAAGAAAAGCATTGGCATAGGGTTTGTATTTTAATCAGATTGGTTGAAACTTACTCTGGAAAAATTGATCGTAGAATGTTTTGTTTAAACCCTCTTAGTTTAATGATATAAAACATAATTATTGTGCCTTCCCAAACTTTTGATCAGGTCTTCCCACAATTTTAGTCACAAAGGGAACCGAGGAAAGCCTTGCCCTGAGCAGTGAAATTGGCATTCCTATGCAATTATATATAATAAAAGTTAGATAATAAAAAAATAATATTTTACCTTCTCCTTCTTCAGTTTAAAATGTAGGAATGCGGTTATATGTTATTTACTGATTGTTTAACATTCATGCAATTTGAAGATCTTTGTTATCATACTTATAGAGGCAGGTACATACGAGATTTATCCTTCAAGATTAAAATACCACAAATAATATCATGTGTACTGGCCTATTTTTTGACACATACTACAGATAAAATTATATGTCTGATTGTCTTTATATAACAGCACTGCTTTACTCTAAAATGTGTAGAATAAAATGCTTCACTGACAAGAGTGGTGAAAGATAAAGTAAGTAAACCATGCAGTCGAACACATCTGCAACCGTATGTTTTGAATGATTGTAGCATAATAACGATACTACAATCTGTCGATACCTTTATTTTGGCATTGCACAAAGGTCATGTTTTTCTCTGACTGTTAATGACGTTTTTATACTAAATCCATTGGATGTTGGATGTGTACTGATTGATATTTTAGTCTTAGATACATGATTTTTTATTAGTTGTTATTGGCTTTGAACTAGCTGTCAGTAACTGCGAGTACTCTCAGATCTGTACTTAGTGTCTTTTTCGTTGTTAGGGATGGGGGATGGATAAATACCCTGCCACTTCCGTTCTGTGTTTTCGTTTGATGTTATTCTGCTTTGAATAGATTTGATCAGTTAAGTCTTTTTCAACTGAATGTTATAGTTTGTTCTTATGTTGTACTGTTACACCACTGTCCCAGGCTAGGGGAGGGTTGGGGGCTCACAAACATGTTTAACCCCGCCACATTCTTTATGTGCCTGTCCCAAGTCAGGAGCCTGTAGTTTGTTTTTCGTATACGAAATATGATAATTTCTCCGACTCGACAGTAAAACCACTGCTATATTTTATGAGAGATATCGCATTAGCTCTATGTGATGTACGCAGATACGCAGCCACGTCCGGTCGAAATTGGGTAGTTTTATCCTATGCCTCGTGTAAGAAAGTGCCACGCTAATTGCACGTTCAAAACCCCTTGCATCAACTATGTGAAGGTTCCGTAGGTGACCTGTTGCAGGGCAAAATGTCTGTCCTATACAAACAACCCACTTTACAGAACGAACCTAGTTGAATTATCATAAAAGATAAAATTGTGTATGTGCCAGTTAGATAACTATTCACTGGAGTACAAACGACATGAATTAAAAAAATTTACAGGCCACATTACGGCCTTCAATATGATAAGGGGGAAAACAAAATCGTATAGCTAGCCAGGTCTCTATGAGAAAATCAAAGGTCTGATTTTATGACTTAACGAAAAACAAATACAACAGACACCAACCAACGAGAACCACATGACTTAGGAAAAGTAAATAAAGAATGTGTCGAGGTTAAACATGTTTGTGAGCGCTCAAACCTCCCCTAACATGGGACAGTGGTATAACAGCACACAATAAGAACAAATTGTAGAAATCAGTTGGAAATGACTTGATTCATCAGATTGGTACGAAACACAAACAACAACTAACATTAAGGCATAAAAGACTCAAAAGGTACCGATCTATAAGCGTAAGCGCATTCACTGACAGCTAGTTCAAAGCATGCTACAAACAATAAATTATTCATGTTCTCCCAGACTTTTGGAGGAGTAAAGTGAATTTGACGAGAATAGCACACATGGTATATGATTAATTGCTTATTGCCTACATTAGTAAAGCATACAGCAAAAAATCGTATAATTATGATTTGTTATATAAAAAAAAAAGACCAGTGTGTACCGGCATATATCATATTATACATGTGTACGTTAGTATGTGTGTAAATATCAATTACATTCATGATTGAATTATCTATTTGTAATATATCATGTTTAAACCAGTTGTGTGAAATCACTAAAATTAAATCAAGTCCAGTCGCCTCAACAATAGAGCTTTTGAAAAAATAACGGTAATTTGATAAGACCGTTTACTATTAACGTAATAAGTACATGTAAAACAGTTTGAATGTATTTGTGTTTAGAGTTTCAATTTCAAGACGTGTCTGTAGCACTTGTTTCATAATTCAAAGTATTTCAAAACTTTGATTTCCCTGGAATAACTGGTTGTCGTTTGTTGCTTTATATCATAAAAATAATAAGATGTAGTATGATTGCCATTGAGACAACTCTTCACCAGAGACCAATCAACGTAGAAATTAACAACTATAGATCACCGTAGAGACTGTTTATGACATCTTTACACGAATTCCGTTGGATGTGTACTGATTGATATTTTAATCTGGGAGAACAATATTTATCTATAATAAGTTGTCTCATTGGAAAATCTTGTTTTATAATTCAATGACTTCACAAATACTGCATGACAAAACATATTTCGATACCTTTCACTTGCCGTGTTTTAACTATGACATTAACTTGCAGGTGCTTTAAAT